GGTCACGGAGCCCCTGCGTTCGAGCCGAAACCGAAGGTGGTCACCACGGCGGTGGTTCTGGGGAGCGCCGCAAGCGGGGTTCGCTCCGCAAGCGTGAATGTCTCTGTTGATGACTCGTTCGGGGGAAGCAGCGACTCGTTCGGGGGAAGCAGCAGGGAGGTTGGGGGCGGTGGGCCAAGGTTTAGGGGTGTTCTAGCACTCGTTGACGCTGCGGCGGATAAGCGGGATGCGGCAGACGATCGGGCCTTGGCCCAGGAGGAGGAGGAGGGGGAGGAGGAGGAGGAGGAAGGCGGGGAGGCGAAGAGGAGGAAGGTTAGCCAAACTGATGGAAGGTGAACGGGGGTGATGTGGTCACAGGGGAGACAAGAGGGCGGTTGAACCCTCAACGCGTTCCCTCTGGGGGAAGGAGAGATCACACGGGCGGTATGATGAGAGTGAAAAGGGAAGAGATGAACATGCAATAATGGGAGGAATCAGAGGCAGCAGGGGCATCATAGAAGAAGTGATTTCGGAAGAGGTGGTGAATCGATTGTGACCATAATACGAACAAGAAGGTAGGCGGAGAGCGGAGGCTTGGATGGATGGTGCAGGGAGTTCGTGGTTCATGCGGAGCATGGCGCCGAGCTTGCCTGGCCGCGTCACGAGGCCTTGGCTCGCCATTTACCGTCCTGAGAAAGGACGAATAAACAGGCATGACCCAAACGAATCGTGTGATTGTATTATGGTGGACGACATGATGACCCTGGTCGCGCACGACAGCTGCACGCAAGCAACACGAACGCTTGAAGCCGGGTGCTTTTCTCAAAACAACTACTTGTACTGAACACGAAAGCGGCCGGCAAATAGTTGTTGGCACTCTTGTCCTTTTCCGTTTTTTATCTTTTCCGGCAACTTTAGTTCAACATCAAAACCAACGAACGTCCCCAGGAGTACTGACTTTGTGAGGTAGGTGTTGGTCTTTTGCCTAACGCGGGGGTTGTGCGACCATTCCTCCCGTGGTGACACTGCAGTACGTATCAGCAGAAGAGGAATAGAAAATCAAATCGGGCACAGCTTGGCCAGTGTGTGCTGCATTCGACAAGCTTTCCGCCGTCCTCTCTAACGATGGCGACCAACATGACCAACATGATTCATCTAGCTTTTATTGTGCTTGAGCTTTTGCATTGGACGGACGCCGGGCAGACTGAGAGTTTGAATTCATCGCCGTTTCAGTATTTGTTTTAGAAGTTGGCAGCGTTCAAAAGGTGAATAAAAGCGCGTCTTAGGTCATAGGTTGCAGGATACAAGAGCAGGGGCGTCACAGTTTGGAAGGCCCGAGACCCTTGCGAGTTGTTCACTGCTGCCTCATCAACAGCTTGCTCTGTCGCCTCGCCCCGAACACAACCATGGCATATTTTGGGATAGGTTTCGCTAGCCTCCAGTCCTTTTTCTACAACCGCTTGCGGTGTTAAGCCTGCCTTACGGAAGACGACGATGACCTACACCTCAATATCTTCCTAATTTTCGTCTTGGAGTGTCTTACGTGTTTTTTTGTTGCCATCGCTTGCGATGGTAAGCCTGCCGGTAGCGCTATCTACACATTTTCAATGGTAGTTTCGACGTGTTGACTGACGAGAGCTATCCCGACTGCAATTGACCAGAGACGCCGCTTGCCATTTCCAGTCATACGGTCATACGGTGTTCGGTTTCTGGGAATCGTGTCCCCAACCCCAACTTACTATTTACACTTGTGTGTGCAGGAAGCGCAGCAGCGGCTCTGACAGAGAATCAGGCAGAACAACCTCGATAATTTTTTGTTCTTTTCGTCAGGCAGGGTTAGGGTGCTGCATTTGAACGACACTTGCTCCCTCATCAATTCATTGTTTCTACTGTCGAAATAAGACACCTTTTTTCCCCCGAGAGTTTGTTCGACGATCGATAAGCGACATGTGATATTTCAGGAGCAAATAACCAACCCATCGTGGACTAGTATTGCGATCTAAATAGAGACCTGTGCTACTGCTTTGAGTCTGGGGGGAAGATGTAATCATCATAGCATGCAGAATGAATGCAACCCATTCCCGTCTCCCATCTTTGCGCTTCGATTCAAACGAAGCGCGTTCGGGAAAGCGGACGCACCGGACGGTGCACCATTATCATTGCACGGCCTTGCCTCCATCATCATTGCACGGCCTTGCCTCCATCATCATTGCACGGCCTTGCCTCCATCATCATTGCACGGCCTTGCCTCCATCATCATTGCACGGCCTTGCCTCCATCATCATTGCACGGCCTTGCCTCCATTCTCTAACGGCATCAAGTCACACAGAATCATACGAACCCGCCTACGCAACGCCTGAATACACCGGAATCCCGCTTCCCCGCCCGCACTCGACACCGCACACAGACCCCAGCCCCTCCTGCACAACAACGCACAACAGCAGTAACGCACTCCGTGTCAGGAATGCATGCAGGGTCCTCCTCCGCCAGAAATTTGGAGAGCCGCAAAAAACGGCAACATCATTCACTACACTTCAGGCGCTTCTTGACCGCCGATCACTGTGCCCCTCCCACCCACTCCCTTCCGTCCGAAAAAACTAACCATATTCTAGGCTACGTTTTGAACAACACAAGAAACTCCACACAAAAATGGGCGCAAACGATTCGAATGATACAGGTTTGGCTGTCATGTGCGTACTTCGTGACAGTCGATCACATTCTCTCCTGGTGAGAGTAATAACACCAACATGAGACTGGCTGGCACCCAGCTGCCACAGCTATAATACTGCGATCGTCACAGGGCGCTGTTTGCCTGCGCTCTCGTATGGCCTCGTTTTTCAATCTTTCGAACCAAAAACAAAAAAAGTTTGGAAATACATGGTGCCATGTATACGCCCAGCTCTGCTCTTCTATATAGTTTCTTCTTTCGTGCTAGCATACAGCAGGAGGCAGGTAGGTTAGGTCCTCCTTAGCCAAGCACGAGACTGCTGTTACCGCCGGGCCCTTGGCGGATGGGGGCGCTGTACGTGGATCCTTCGTTGCTCTGCCCGCCCACGCTCATGGTCTCCGCCATGTCGACGGCGTTGGTCGCGGGGGGCTCCGTGGAATCGACGCTCCCGAACAGTGCCACTGACGTCACGTTCAGCCCCTGCAAACAACAAGGAGAGCGAGCACCACGACATATGTATGTAGGCGAACTGATCGCGTGGTGGCAGTCGATGTTGACAGCTTGCCGGGCCCGCAAAGCCGTACTACCGAGAGGTGGTGGCTCAGCAGCCGGTTAGGTTTGGTCGCAGGCACCTTTCTGCGAGGTACAGTAACAGCAAAAAAATAACCTAGGTAGAACGCTGAGTGCCATCAAGGTTTTTTTGAGAGAATAATACCCGGCCATGCAGTCGTCCCGGCTAAAAGGACACTCGCCTTTAAGCCCACTCCCCGCTTTAAGGACAAAAAACACCTCAGAAGCAGCGTCCCTCACAAATAAACAATATAGAGGGTATACTTCAAGCTGGGTGGACTGCTGTTCATTGTTGAACAAAGCTGCATTCTCGCTCTGGGACAATACCATAGCATGGTCATCCTCGCATCACCGACCTGTGAGCGAAGGCTGTTGAGCATAGCCTTCGTGTCTGCGTTGCCCATGCCCGCGGCCCCCTTCACCTCCTCGATCGTCTGGCTGCCGTCCGCCCTCGTGGCTAGCACTCTCCTGCCTGTCGTGCTGGCCATCGCACCAACCCCCCCCGGCAGATGCCAGGCGTTTCTGAAAGACGGAACATAAAACAAATGTTGGGCCACTATAAAGACTTGCACCTGAAGAAGGTGCAACATCAACGCGATCAAGTCCTCGTCCACTTCCTCATGGCATCATGGGCGGTAGTTCAAACTTCAACACCTCGGCCTCTGTAGCACATCAACAAGACGACAAGAAACAAAAAAAATCTCGCGCGGCAGACGCGGCAATAAAGTCGCAAGCACTAACCGACTAACCCGCGCCTGCACAAAATTACCTTTTCATCATGGCCAGTCGATCCGCTTACCTGCCGTCACTTCAACAACGACTCCAACAGAAACAACAAAAATATCACGCCGCAGGCGCAGTAGTGCAGTCGCAAACACGATCCAGACACAAGGAGGAACGATATGACGACGACGCAACTACTGTAACACAACCAAGTCGTGGTCCCGGTGTAGCGGTCTTGTAGGTAGTGCAATAGTGTAATAGTGTAACCATAGCATAACTTTAATTGTGTCACAAACTACTGTTAAAACCGCCATTGAGAGCATTGCCGCTAGTAACATGGTGCACCCGTGCCACGAGATTTTGGGACCGCTGTTCAGGGCATCCCGCTAAAACAGGGAAGGAACTAACCGCTAGACCGGGACCAATACTGTAATATGCATACAGTAAACAGATACATAGATGGATGGATAGGTACGTACCTCATCATGAGCTCGAAGTCGTCGTCGTCCGGCATGCCCGCTGACAGCATGGAGTAGTACCGGCACCACTCCTCAGGGGTGACCTGTATTATAGGGACACACAAAATGCACAAAGCGTGGAAAAATGCAATGCGCGGAGTCAGGATTTCAACTAGGCCCGAAAAGCACCAGAAAAATATTTACACAAAGTATTGAACATCAAAAATAAGAGAACTATGGCAATATACTGAAGAAGAGAACAGAACTTACGATTCTTGCACGACACTTGCATTGGATGCAAGATACTATTAAAATGACGGCCCCAACATCATCTCAAACGATGTAAAATAACTTAAATATCCGTGTGTATGGCTGACCTCGTTACTATTATAGGGTGTCGACAAGGGTACGGCGGCCGATGACCTATACAAATTCAATTCAACCTCCATAAATCTCTAGTACATGTTGTACATGGCCGCAAAAAACACGTGCTTGGTGCCTGCCAAGCAAGTCATGCACTCCTGCTGCAACAGGTGGACATGTCACGGATGGGATGCCGGATGCCCACAAACGACAACAAACTTACGACGGAACATAGTCTACCACGGTCTCCATCTTGCTGTTAGCGACAAAAGAGGCAACTAAAACTATCAGCTGTTTCGAGAGGGGTACAGTAACGCGCAGGGCTCGGGGGATAACCCGCCCGCTACAATAGCGACAGATCAGCAGGCCGCGGCTGTTTGGTCACCTCACCTTGCAATCCTTAATCTCCCCCTCGAAGCTGGAGATGAACTCCTCCATGACTTCCTCCTCTGTGCGCCTCTTGGCCACCACACCAGGGTGCTGGGAAGCGTCGTACACACTCTGCCACACCGCGTTCAAGGACAAAGACATTCAAAACACATCAAACACACTTCTGGTCCTTCAGTACTCTACGCCATGTACACCCCTTCTAGGCTGGACAAAACAAAAGCAGGACCACGGGATACTCTTGACAGATTGTTGGCTTCCGGAGAAGTGGTAATCTTGCTCGTAACGTGAAAGTTACCCCCCCCCCCTACACGCATCAAATTGACGGTTTGGAAGAGCGTAATCGTATCGCCGCCAGAGTATGCCCGAGAAGAATGGGAAGGGAATAAGAAGGTAGTGAAAGGAGTCGAGGCGGCGCAGATGAAAGCAGCGAAATTCATCCTTGGATGCTCCAAGCGCACAAGTAATGCAGCCGTCGGGCAGAACTGGAGATCCAATCCCTACGGTCGGGAAGGGACGCGAGGAAGCTGACATGGCAGTATCGCATGTGCGGGATGGGAGAGGAGAGGTTGCCGAGAAATGTATGGGAGGCGAAGAGGGCAAACGAAAAGAGGGGTAGACAACCTAGACAACCCACGGAGTGGGTCAAGGTTGTAGAGGACGTATGGAAGGGGCTCGACATCGACGAAGATGAAACGCTGGAAACGGAGGCTCTACAGGGGTTCAAGGAGAAGATATCTGTTGCTTGTGCCGAGAGAGAAGAACAGAATCTAAGGAAAGAATTCAAGGATAAGGAGGGTCTAGAAGTGTACGGAATGTTGAAGGAAGGAATAGGGTTCAAGGGTTACCTACATGGACAAATGGATGCAGGAACAAAGCTGAAGGTCAAATCCAGGACCGGGGATATAGGTCTTCGAGAACGTCGACGAAGACATAGGACGGTAGACGACGAAGACACAGGACGGTAGACGACGAAGACGACGAGTTCAAATGTGATTGCAGCTTCGAATGCGAAGACCGTGTTCATGTAGTCGAGGAATGCCCGTGGTACAAGGAGAGTGAAGTGTACGTGACTGATCTGGGAAAAGTAGATGGGACGTACAGGGAGATGTTTGAGGCATGGAATAGAGAGGAAAGGACGGTAGCTGTACTGGGGCAAAGGAGGTGGGTTGAAAAGGCGGGAAGGGATACCGTTAGGATAGGCAAACCAGGGAAGACATTTTTGGGCCACCTTTGGCAAAGTAGAAAGGAGCGATTGGTCATCGGTGAGCGGTCCTGTGGGAACAATGCTCCGTCCTCTCGAGGACGCGTGGTCAATGGTCTAACCGCTAAGGCATGCAAAACATAAGAGNCGTCGCTTGGCAACGACGTTGTAAAACAAGCTGCCCCCCCCGGTGTTTGCCATCGGGATTGGGTTTTCGTCGCTTGGCAACGACGTCGTAAAACAAGCCAATTCATTTCGTGAACTCGGCAACCAGGTTATCGTTTTTCTTTTTTTTTTACCTCTTTTTTTTTTTGGCGGTAACCACAATGGTGGTTGAGTAGATTATGTTGTGCGGGGTGGAGAACCCTCACTCCGCGCAAGGAGGATGATCGCACACGTTGTGTTATAATGGTCAAGCACCCTCGAGGCAGTGACACAGTGCTTACAACTGTCTCTGGAAGTGAAGCACCAGAAAAAAGTTCAGTCATACGCAGCTGTCATCCGTATGCAAGGAAGTAAGCACGAGATGCCGNACGTTGTGTTATAATGGTCAAGCACCCTCGAGGCAGTGACACAGTGCTTACAACTGTCTCTGGAAGTGAA